GAAACCACTGAGCTAAATCCCCAGCCCTATTGGTACTTTTTAGGTATACAGTACAGTTACATTCGTCATTGGGATATTGTACTTTTACATGACAGGTCTTGGTTCTCATTTTTTTCCCTTACCCCTGCCTTCCCTTCACTCCCTCCTCCCTTCCCTATTTAAATACTTTATTTCCATTTTATCATTTTCTCAGATCATTTTTTTCTTTTCCCTTATTTCCTTTCCCCTACCCCTCCCACTTCTCCTACACTTTTAGCCCTTTTCTTCCTATTTCACATTGTCAATTATACCATTAGGATCTTATATACAATTATAGTTTTTCACACCAGAGAAACTATTTGGTATTTACACATGTGACTTATTTATTTCACTTGAGTATGACCTCAATATGCATCCATTTTCCTATGAATGACATAATTTCTCATTCTTTATGGCTGAGTAGTATTCCATTTTATATAAAAACCACATCTTCTTTATCCAGTCTCCAGCTGCATGGGCAAATGGGCTGTTTCCAAGTTTTAGCTATTACAAACTGTACCAATATAAATATGGCGTGCAAATATCTCTCTGATGTGATTCTTTTAATTGTTTTGGAAAGATATCCAACAGAGGGATGGCTGGGTCAAATGGAACCTCTAATCCTAGTTCTTTGAAGTATCTCGATATTGATTTCCACAGTGCTTGCAACAGTCTGCACTCGCACCAATAATGGAGAAGGGTTCCTTTCTCCCCACAACACCACCAACATTTGTTATTGTTTGATTTCTTGATCTCAGCCATTCTTTGTGGGGTGAGGTGGAATCTGTGTTCTTTTCATCTCCATCTCTCCAATGACCAGTGATGTGGAACATTTTTTCTTATGTTTATTTGCTGCTTTTACTTCTTTGCCTGAGAAATGTATGTTCATTTCAGATGCCCATTTTTGAATCGGGTCTTTATGTTTGGGGGGCCTGATTTTTTTGAGTTCCTTACATATTCTAGATGATAGTCCTTCGTCTGAGGAGCAGCTGGTAAAAATATTTTCTGACATTGTAGGTTGTCTCTTAGTTCTGTTGATGGTTTCTTTTGCAGTGCAGGAGCTTTTTAAAAAGTTGAGATCCCAGTTGTTGATTCTTTATTCTAGTTCCTGTGCTACTGAGGATTTATTCATAAAGTGTTTTCCTATGCCAATGTCTTCAAGAGTTCTGCCTAACTTATCTTCCAGCAAATTTAGTGTCTCTTTTTTAATATTTAGATCTATAATCAACTTGGATTTTAGTTTAGTTCATGGTGAAAGATAAGGGTCTAGTTTTAATCTGTGGAAGGTTGAAATCCAGTTTTTCCAACACCATTTATTAAAGAGGCTATCTTTCCTCCAGCAAGGATGATTGGCTCCTTTGTCAAAGATGAGGTAGTTGAGTACATCTGGAGTTGTCTCTGTATCTTCCAATCTATTCCACTGGTCCTCAGGTCTGTTTCTTTGCCAGTACCATGCTGTTTTAATCACAGTGGCTTTGTAGCATAGTTTCAAATTGGGAATTGTTATACCTGCTGCCATGTCTCTGTTGCCTAGGATGGCTTTTGCTATTCTAGGTCTCTTCTGGTTTCAAATGAATTTTTGGATTATTTTTTCTAGTTCTGTGAAATATACTGTTCGAATTTTAGTGGGCATTGCATTGAATCTGTATAGCAGTTTTGGTAGTATGGCCATTTCCACTATGTTGATTCTTCTTACCCTAATTGTTTCCCTAATTTCTCTCTCAGTGAGTCTGTTATTTGTGTACAAGAAGGCTATTGATTTTTGAGTGTTGACCTTGTATCCAGCTACTCTGCTGAAAGTGTCAATTAAGTCTAGAAGTCTTTTGATGGAATTTTTTGGGTCTTCAATGTAGAGTATCATATCATCAGCAAATAATGACAGTTTAACTTCTCCCTTTCCTATCTTTATTGCTTTGATTTCTTTTCTTGTCTAGTTGCTGTGGCTAATATTTCCAGAACCATATTGAAAAGGAGTGGTAATAATGGGCATCCTTGTCTTGTTCCTGATTTTAACGTGAAGGATTTCAGTTTTTGACCATTTAATATGATGTTGGCTGTTGGTTTTTCATAGATAGCCTTTATTAAGTTGAGATATAGACCATCTATTCCAATTTTTGGCAGGGTTTTATCATGAATGGGTGTTGAATTTTGTCAAATGCTTTTTCTGCATCTATTTAGAGGATCCTATGGTTTTTGTTCTTGACTCTGTTAATATAGTGTATTACATTTTTTGATTTATTTATGTTGAACCATCCTTGCAACTCTGGAATAAATCCGACATGGTTAGGGTGTGTGATCTTCTTGATGATCCTCTGTATTGTTTGCCAGTATCTTATTAAGGATTTTTGCATCTATGTTTTTTAAGGAGACTCTAATTCTTTTTTTTAGTTTGGTCTTTGCCTGGTTTGGAAAGGTAGTTCTCTCCATTTCAATTCTATGAAATACTTTGAGAAACATTGTCATTAGGTCTTTAAAAAGTTGATAAAATTCACTAGTGAAGCCATCTGCTTTGTTAAGAAACATTTTTATTACTGATTCAATCTCATTACATTTTATTGTTCTATTCCAGTTTTTAATGTCCCCTTGATAAATTTTGTAAGTTGTATGTATCCAGAAATCTATACATTTTTTATATTTTCCAGTTTTTTCATATACAGTCTTTCAAAATAATCTCTAATGGTCTTTTGCATTTGTGTAGTATTGGTTGTGATGCCTGGTTTTCCATCTTTAATTTATTTGGATCTTTGCTCTGTTTTTTCTTTTTGTTGTTGTAGTTGTTGTTGTTTGGCTATACTAAGGATTTGCTGATTCCATTTATCTTTACAAAGAACCAGTTGTTCATTTTACTGACTTTTTTTTTTTACTCTTTTATTTCTGCTCTGATCTTATTTTCTCCTTCCTACAAACTTTGAGTTTCATTTTAACTTGCTGTTCTAAGTTAGATGCATCATTAGGTCACATATTTAAAATCTTTTTTTTTTTAGTGTAGGCACTTAGGGTTTTTATATCTGAAATGTCTCCCAAAAGCCTCATGTGTTCAGAGCTTTGGCTTTTGGAAAGTGATTGAGTGATGAGGATGCTATATCTATCAGTAGGTTATTTCACTGACGTGTTCATACCCAAAGGTTCTGTTAGGAGGTGGGGCCTTGATGGAAAAGGAGTATCACTGTGGGTATAAACCAAAGAGTATATCTCCTTCTCTGACTCCTCCCTTCACACACTACTTTCTGGACATGGTAAAATAAGCAGTTTTTCTCTGCCAGATCTTTCCACCATATCTTTTCTGCCTTGGTGCAGACTGTAGTGAATCCTCTGAAAACCATAAATCAAAACAAAACTCTCCTGCCTTAAATTGTGGATATCAGGTATTTTGTTCCAGATAAAGAAAGTAACTAACACAGCACTTATTGTCATAAACTTACTGTCAACTACTGCTTTTGCTGTATCCCACAGATTGTATTATGTTGTGTCTCAATTTTGTTTTGTTTCAAGAGATTTTTTTAAATTTTCATTCTAACTTCCTTCTTGACCCACTGTTCATCAAAAAATGTTTTGGGAGTTAGGTGTAGCTCAATGATAAGAGTGCTTGCCTAGCATATAGGAGGCTTCAGTAAATTAGACTAAAATTTAGTTTTATAGACTTTAACTGGAAAATATAACAGAGAAGAGTTGTGAACAGATTATGGATTACCTTGAATACAAACGGAGAAATTATAGGTCTGCAGCTATGGCTTTCATTTTAATAGGACCAGTGGGGCTATAGATCTTCAAGGAATGTGAGTGATCATTCCAAACCCATGAATGTACCCCACAATCAAGGAATGCAATTATCTTTAGAATATGGGAGGAAACAGTTCTATTATAGTAAGCAGTTTTTAATGATATAAAACTACCAAAGTTTATGTCCGATGAAGTATAAGAAAAGGCACTGAAGCCTTGGGGACTCTTACAAATCCGTAGGTTGTACTGGGAGAGTTGTATCACTTCTCTGACAGAAATCTTCTAGCATTCCTCACTGCCAAGTGACTTAAATGTAAACCCCAGTCCTTCATCTTTTAAATCCCAGTGGTCTTTTCCATATTTATTTCTTAATATTTCTATACATGTAATCAGTACTCTGGCAAAACTATTTTTTCATTCTTTGTGTCTTTATTTCATGCCTCTGTCTCCTTTTTTTTATAAAGTTGCTCTATCTTGAGTTTTTTCTATTTCGAGTAAGTCCATGAGAACTTCCAATTGCCAAAAAGATATCTTCATCCCCTTTACAAGCATGCCAAGGTTATCAGCATCTTTGAATCCTCCTTTTGGCCCTTGGCATGCCTACTTCTACCTGTTTTAGAGTCACCTATGTAATTTATTTTTCATTCTATAAGCTTTATAATGAAGAAACTTTCTCATAATTATGTATTATTATACCACTTAATATGATTCTTTGCTACAATAGATGTTCACTTAGAGGCTGTAGAATTTAATTAAGCTGTGTCTCTGCCATCTTCTAGCAATTGTTGTCTAGTAGTGCATATCAGGTACAATACCTAGTAATGTGAGAAGAAAGATACCATTCTAAAAATATGAAACTTATGACTATTTAGATGAACATACAGGCCACTTTTAAATAAATTTATAGTTACTTTAAGAATAAATCTAGCTGACTGCTAAGTTAATAATAAAGTAGACAAAATACACAAATAATAAACATAATTACAGGCTCCTTAACAACTATAAAAAGCTATTTTGTAGTCATTTGATTTAATATGTGGCCTAAAACTTTTTGAAAAGCATTGGTTTGATTCTCTCATACAAAGAAGTGCAATAATATACTCAGCTATATTCTTTTCTGTTGTTAGGGCATAAAAGAGATTATGACCAGGAGATTGTCAATTACAGCAGAACACAGTATTTTTATTTGTAATAATACATGATAATTTCACAAAAGTGGAGAACATTTCAAATTAACAATAGGATATTAATTCTACCACTAGGGACCAAGAGGACCAGATGGTCTCCCAGGGGAACAAGGTATACAAGGTGCCAAGGTAATCACTGATTTTCTTAATTTCATATGCAGTAAAATTTTATGGTGCCTATATATTCTACCTTCCAAAAAATCATATATCACCTTAGAAATTTATAGTTCTATGGGGAGGGGAGGAGGGGGTGAAGGGAAGGCAGGGACAAGGGGAAAAAAATGAGAATCAAGACCTATCATGTAAAGGTACAGGATCCCAATAATGAATGTAACTGTATTATATACCTAGATTGTACCAATAAACTCAATAAAAAGAAAAAAAAAAGAAATGTATAGTTCTAAATTTTATCTAATTTTATGCATGCAACATAAAGTTTTTACCACATTACCACACGTAACAAATTTTCTGTTTGTGAATTAATGTTAATATATGTAAAACTATAATTTATATTATTACTAATTCACCTTCTTTGTTAGGGTGAAAAAGGAAATAAAGGAAAAAGAGGCTCTCATGGTATCGTGGTAAGAAATAAAAGAATTTCGATTGTTTCTTCTGTTATTTTGAGAGGGGGTTACTTGACCTACACATCTTTATCTTGTGTAGGGTAAGACTGGAAACCCTGGAGAGAGAGGAGTTGAAGGAAAACCAGTAAGTAATTAGAAAATAATAATTATATGAGTAATTGTTATCTGTGTGGAAGTGGTGTTTAAACAATGCTTTGTTTTTTGATGATAAAGATTGTATATATTTACAGTATACAATATGATTATATTCATATATATTATAAAGTGATTATCTGTTTCCCCCTCTGACACAACTATTATTTCATATCCAAAGACTACAAGTTCTCTTCTTTCTTTAATCATTAAATTATGTTTTATTTGAGCAAGTTGCTTATCCATTCTCAGGCTTGATTGCGCCTACTTTTAAACTGGTGGTGATAACTGTTACTTCAGTCTAGTTGATAAATTCAGTTTTTTTGTAAAGCTCATTTTGAAATAAAATGGTGTGATACATAAATAGAATGGGACATAATAAAGGTAATAATACAAGAAAGTCATTTGAGACCTTATACTTAGTTACCTTTCAACTCAGTTGGAGGGGATTTTGGAATGGGGTTCTGTATATGATTTCTCATGGTTCTACTCTAAATATTTTTAATGTTTGTAATGGTACATTACATTATACATTATACATCTCACTAGAATTATACTTTTTCTAACATGAAAGACAACAACTGTGATCATTACCAAGTAAGGAAGAAAAATGTTTTAAAAAGATAAAAATGCAAGAGTCACACATACATACGTAAACATAAGCATGAATGTACAGCTATTTTATTTCATTCAGAATTATAATTTAGTGACATTTGTTATAGATTTGTATAAGTTTGTGAAATTATATAATATAAATAGATAGCAGTTGATGAGTCTGAAAAGGATAACATAAAAATGTTTTAGTTGCTGAAATCATCATCACCAATATCACTGCATTTGCTTGTTCCTCTTTGAAATCTGCTGCCCCCTGCCTGTGATTTGTCACAATAGCATAATATTTGACTCAAGATTAAAGTATCAGAGCTAAGAGAAAAAATGATTTTCTAGGGAAAGAACTTGTATTTGGCATTGTATTAATCAAATTCCTTCTCCCCAAAGCAGACCTGGAATGTAAAATTCATCTTCTGTATTTTTATTATCAACCTTAAAAAATATTTCTGTAGATTGTGACTACTTGTATATAAGGCAAGTATGTTACAATGAATAGAGGAATCTAAAGGGCATGTTCATTCCTCTGGTTTTTAACAAATGAGACCTACAGAAATAAAAATTATTTTCCAATTTTCCCCAATGTTGACCTTTCTTAAAATTTCACTTTCATTTTCCAATTGGATAAAAGTGATATTTGACATGTGACTCTCTTAATCAAATAAAAAGTACTAGAATCATTTTATAATCTTAGCTTACAACAAGCAAGTTACCTAGACCACTGGAAGAGTAAAATTACCTTCATATATAACATGGTGTTCCATAACTAATGAGTTTGTAATAGCTATTGTGGTTATGGCTTACTGTGCTCTATACCTACATTGACCTTTCTTTCTCTCTCTCTCTCTCTCTCTCTCTCTCTCTCTCTCTCTCTCTCTCTCTTTCTCTCTCTCTCTCTCTCTCTCTCTCTCTCTCTCTCTCTCTCTCTCTCTTTCCTTCAATACAAGGAATTGATCTCAGGGCCTTCGCAATGAACTAGACCCCCAGCCCTATTTTATTTTATTTTTGAGACAGATTCTCACTAGGTCATTAAATTGCTCAAATTAGTCTGAAACTTCCTCTCTTGCCTCAGCCTCCCAGACTGCTGGAATTATTGGTGTGTGTCACCAAGCCCTGCTCACCCACATTGTCTCCTTCTCCTTGATGAATAGAAATCTTGGAGAATCCATGAACAGTCAATCAATAAAATGAGATAAGCCGTAAAGATTCATTTTATCCTTCCCAGTATTCTTACTGTCTGCAGTCATTTAAGCATGGCGAATAGGAGACAACACTGTATACTAGAAAGATGAATTAGAGGTCAAATTGATTTTTGTTCTTACATGCTTCTAAAAATTGTATAATCTTGGTTTAATTGCTTAGCACTCTGGATCATATTTTCCTCATTTGTAAAATAAAGAGATTGATCGATAAGATCTCTAAAACCTCCTCCAACTTTCATTTGTTCCAATTCTTTTTTCTTTTATGCTGGGGATTGAACCCTGAACTTGTGCATAATAACCAAATGTCCTACCCCAGGCAACCCTCCCAGCCTCTAATTGTTATAATACTAAAGCCAAATGTTAAATGAAAATCGAAAACACATATAGTACAGTTCACCACACAACCAGTATATTTTTTAGTGGACCACCAACACCATTTTCTATACTCACTTTCTACACACAGATCTGACTCAAAGGAAAAATCAGGAACAAAGGCCATGATACATTGTTTTACTAAGATGATAAACCTGGATCATTATTTTTGGTTTCCAAATCACATAAATATTATAATACTTTGTGCATTACTCTTTTATGAAATGGTCTATTAATTGATAAATGTGTAAAAAATTACGATTTTCAATGTCTCTACTTTTTAATTCTGCCAAATTTTACTTTATATATTTTGAAATTATATTACAAGTGCATTCACATTTAGAGTTATGTCTTCCTAAGAAACTGAACCTTTATTAAAAACTATTCTGATTTATCTTTCATTATTTTTTCCCTCTTGGTGATATTGCTTTGAATTCCATTTTCCCTGATATTTATAGAGTTTCATCTTTCTGACCCTTGCAGTTCAGGTGGCATATTTTCCCATATGTTTCTTTATATTTAAATAGAATATATTACAGTTTGATCTTGCTTTTTAATTAAGACACTCTTTAATTATAGTGTTTGGTCCATTTCATATTGATGTTGTTTTAGGTCTCCCATTTTAAGATTTGTTGTTCCTTGTATCTTTTTTGTTGTAATTATTGTTTGATATCTTCCTGTTAGCACTGAATGCTTTTGAGAATTCTGTTTCTATTTATCTATTAGATTCTTAGCAATACTTATTATAAGTCAGGTATTAGTAAAACTTTTTCTGGAGTGTCACAAAATAAATATTTTATGTTAAATATTTAACATAAGTGTAAGGAATTTGCAACCATGAGATCAATTTACCAATATTGCCTTTTATAATATAATTGTTTTATGAATTATATCTACATATATTATGAATCCTACATTGTAAATTTATAATTTGTTGTAATTTACATAAAATTTAGCCTAACAAAAATGAAGTATGTACATTAAAGCTATTTATGAGGAAAGAGAGCCTTTTATTTACTCATCTACTTAACATTTTTGGTGATCTTTGTTCCTTTCTGAAAATTTGTATTTCAAAATAGTGTCATTTCCCTATAGTGTAGGAAACATCCTTTAGATTTTTTAATGAAGTTTATTAGTGATAAATTATCTTAATGTTTATGATTTCTTTTCATTTTTACTGATGAAATGTGCTTTTTTCATATTTAAATAATTTTTTAAAGAATTAAAGAATTTTACTGGATACAGGATCCTGAATTTTTGTTTGTTTTTATTCAATATTCTTAAAAAGACACTTCCATTTGGCCTTCAATATTTCCGATGAGATGTCCACATCTATCTCTATCATTATTCCACTGCATGTCACATATCATTATACTGTATTGGAGTTGGACATATTAAGAGATTAAGTAGTAGTTCTTTCACTTGCTAGTTCTTTTGACTTTGTACGTATTGTTGAACCTCTCTAAGTGTCAGTTTCTATCTTTCAAATGGAATATCTTTCATGGTTCTAAGAAATGATATTTATTATGATATGACTTGTGCAAACTCTCAATAAACAACCACCGTAGATTTTATTATTATTTGGTCAACATTCCCACAATCACTGAGTTGAATTCATGGAGCAGAGAGTTTTACTATTATTGATATATTGTTAGTGACATCTGGAAACTCTCAAATTTAGAAAACATTTTAAATTATTTCATTGCTTTGTGAAACAGCTTTTATGTACCATAAACAGCGCTACATTCATACATTAAGCTTGCTTGCTGTATATTCAAATACACTTTACAAAGAAAACTGGAAAGATACTATGTAAAGTGTTGAATATTTAATGTATATTTAATGTAGTTAGTTTATCGGGCTTGGAGAGATTCCTAATATTGAACTTGCCTTTTAATTTAGGAGCCAAAGTGAATGAAGAACAGGAATTTCAGGACTGAAACATGGCATTAGCCAGATGAGAACCCTTACCTTTGCACACTTCCTTTCCTCTAAGCAGAGAAACTGAATAGAATCTTGCTGGTTGTAACAGAGGATTATGTAGTACTAAGAATTTTGAATTCTTTTACAAATATTTTAAAATTTTTATTTGACATATAATTGTACATATATATGGGGTTATCTTAATCACATTCTTCATTGCTGAGAAAAAATACCTGAAACTAACAATTTAAAGGAGGAGGAGTTTATTTTGGCTCACAGTCTCAGAAGTTTCGGTCTGTTGTTGGCAGACTGAAACTCAGAAGAGCCATGGTGGAAAGGCCTGGCAGAAGAAAACTGCTCACATCATGATGGCCATTAAACAGAGAGAGAAAAGAGGAGCACAGGAAAAAGATATAAGCTTTCAGGTCTCTCCTCAGTGACCCACCTCTAACTGGGCCCTACCTCCTAACAGCAAGTCAAGTCAGCTATAGCCTCCGTGGTGCAGTCACCCTTCAAAACCCCACCTCTGAACATATGAGGCTTGGGGGTGGGGACATTCCAGATCTAAACATAACAAAGGAATAGAGAGATTTTCAATACATATATATAATATGTAATAGTCAAATCAGAATAATTGGTATATATATTACTTCAAACATCATTTCTCTGTGTTGAGAATATTCAAAATCATCTCTACTAATTATTTTAAAATGTACAGTTAAATATCATCACACATTGTAACCCTGCTTTTCCATAGAACACTAGAAGTTTTTCCCTGCATTCAATGCATCCTATATTACCATCTTGTTTTCATCTCCCCTTTCTCCACTTTCAAGTTTTGGTTAACTATTTTCTACTTTCTTCATCTATGAGATTAATATTGTTACTTTCCACATATAAATGAATACATGTGGCATTAGCCTCTCTGAATGTGCTTTGTTTTCCTTACCATAAGGCCCAGTTCCATGTACATTGTCATAAATGACAGGATTTAATTACTACCATAGTTGAATAATAACAGCATTGTGTATATATGTCACACTTTTTGTCCATTTATCTGAAGACAAATACCTAGGTGGATTCCACAATATGATTATTGTGAATAATGCTGCAGTAAACATAAGAGTGCATACCTTTCTGACACACTGATTTTATGACCCACTGTATTCAATAATGGCCATACTAGTTTACATTCCCACCAACACTATATAAGACTTTTCCTCTCTTTGCATCCTCAGCAATGTTTAGAATTTTTAATATCTTTACTTCCAGCTTAATGTCATTGTTTCTTAGATTTAACTTTCACATATAATAGTAATTATGATTAGTTATGTTATCAGCCTTTCCAAGGTCAATAATAAAGAAGAGGCATCTTGTAAATAGGGGCAGTATTTTATATATTCCCAGTAGTTATCAATGTCTTGCACTCGGTACATGCTGAGTAAATCTTTGAGTGAAAGGACAAAGGAAAGATCTAAAATTAGATCTAGAATTTAATTTATAATAGACTTCATATTTGAGACTCACTTTTATAGTAGGCATGGTGTTAAGAAAAAAAAGTGAGAGATGAGTGTGCAAGGACTTGGGTTTGGCGCCCAGCATGGCAAAACAAAAAGGAACTTAAAGGTCCAGTGTAGTTATCTCCAGCCATGTAGAGGTTCTGAGACTCCCATGTCTTGCTAGATTTTGGTACTTATGAACACATCACAAAAATGTCATTTTTGGTAAAACAAATTTATATCAATATTAAAGGCATAAGGAAATCCAAATTTAAAGTAATTCTGGACAATTATTTGTCACAGTATAGAGTGAGGTATAATTCTAAAAATAGAGGTAAAGAACTCCTACAATTCAAAAACCAACATAAAAAATACTTATGCTAATCAGCTTTCTGTAACTGTGACAGAATATCTGAGGAAATCAATTCATAGGGCACAAAGATGTATTTTGGTTTATGGTCTCAGAGATTTCAGTCCATGCTCAGTTGGCTCCATTGTTTTGGGGCCTATGGTGCAGCAGAACATCATGATGAAAAGTGCATGGTGGGGTAAAGCTACTTATTTCATGGCATTCAAGAAGCAAAGAGAAAGAAATCCAAAAAAAAGAAAGAAAATGGCACATGCGTTCTAGTATCCCCTAGAAGCCACATCCCCAGTGACCTAGCTTTCTTCCACCAGGCACTCTCTTCTCTAGACTCCCCCACCTCCCAGTAGTGTCACAGGCCAGTAAGCAACTGTTAAACATGTGGCCTTTGGAGGACACAAAGCCCTCTCTGTTGGCACAGGAGCCAAATTGCCCCAGCATCTCCCCAGTAGCAGAGCGTCGGATTATAGCGGTGTTGTCACTTTGCAATAAATAAGTGGATTTTAGGTTGAAGTTTGGCCACTTGGTCTGTAAAAGTTTTGCCATGACTGACCTACAGCCATCATTCCATTCTACTTTAAAAAGTAGAATAGTGGTTAACAGGGACTAGGGAAAGTGGTGATGCAGAGTTAGTGTTTAATGGGTGCAGTTTTACTTGGAGATGATGGAAAAGTACTGGAAATGGATGGCAGTAGTGGTTGCTCAGCAATGTGCATATACTTAATGCCACAAATCTTTATGCCTAAAAATGGTTAAAATAATCAACTTTATGTTATATGTATTTTGCTACAAAAGAAAAAGAAAGGAAGATATAGAAAAGAACTCATAGTGAAAGCTAAGGAAAGGAAACTGGAACATTTTCAAACATTACACTTGCTACAAGTTTTGCACTTATTTGTCCAGGGTATACAGGGATCCCCTGGCAGTACAGGAGACAGGGGACTTGCAGGAGAACCGGTAAGTTTATTTTTTATACTTTTTAAATTTTGCTTTGCTCATTAAGTACATCTAGCTTTTCATTATTATTGCCCTATTGTGCTATGACTGATATACTTTAGAAAGCAACATTTATTATAGACACCATAGACCAATTATGTAGAATGACTATTTTGCATAGTATCATCATACGCTATATAAAATGAATATGTTGGAATATGGTTTTTAATGCCATTCTTGTTTAATGTAGTTGTATGTGGTACTTTTTCTCTTGAACTGTTAAAACTAAGCAAATTTCTATCTTTTACAAAGAAAACTATTTTACTAAACCTCAGAAACTTTCTGAATGCCTTGCCGTTCTTATAAGTATCATATTTCCACACACACACAATCACATTTATGAGGCCAACTCTAGAATTTAAAAAACACATATAGAAAAGCCAAACTCTAGATCTGATGGGCCAAAATGTACAAACATGACAGAAATTCTGTTGCACCAACAATACAGAAACATACGTTGCAGTATTTAAAATATGACTCAATAACGGAGTTTCCATGGAAAATGAGTTGTGAAAAGGAAAAGACCTAGTCACAACCTATGTTCTTACAATTTATTCTTTATTACCAATGAAGTCATTCTTCTGGTTAATCATGTCAAATATAAGATGCTGTAATGTGCTTCTAAGATTTACAATACAATATGGTCTTTCAAACCAATTGGTTGATTTTATCATAAATTGATGTAAAAGTTTACAAGTGGCATTTGCATAATTCACTTAGATAGTAGCAAGTGGAAAATTCTAACAGTCAAATAATATTCTTACCAAACTGTATTCATTTCTTCCGTTATGTACTTAGCCCATGATATAACCTCTCTAAACAATAAGTAACAAGTTCAATATTTATTTCCAAATAAAATATCTAAGCCATAGCATTGATTTTAAACAACTTAATCCTTCTTAGTTTCCTCCCTATTTTGTATATCTTAAACTGTTATCCCAATTGTAGTATCTGACCATAAAATAATGCAAATCTTTTTACCACAGTTTATTTTAATGTGTTTCCCCTAAACAATCTATAAACTTCTCAAAGAGAAAGACAGCTTCTTTCATCCTTGTAATCTCCTTTTCTGGTGTAATAGTTGCCACATTAAACCTACTCAATTGTTTGTTAAATTGTATGGACAAAAGAACATACAAAAAACTATAATCACTGTAGTATAGGTAACATTATTGTATGAGGTGAAATGGAATGAAAACTAATTAGTCTTATTAAAGAAGACATTTAAGTAGAGTTAGGAATGTCAGCAGAGTTATGACAATAGCAGAGACAACAGCTTTAAAATTCTCACAAGAATAGACTTGTTAATGAAGTGACCTGATTGTACCTAAAACTTAACATGCAGGTCTAGGGCCAGTGGGATGGGTAAATAAAATATAAGTCAATTTATAATGAATATAATGGGCTCTGTGTCAAAGATCTAAGCTTCCTGGTATAATCACAGACAAGAAAAAATATTGAAACACTTATTTTTGACAGTAATAAAATAAGGGAAGGGCTGGGGATTTAGCTCAGTGATTCTGCTACCTGCCTCGCAAGTGCAAGGACCCAAGTTTGATCCCCAGTACCAAAAATAAATAAATAATAATAATAAAATAAGGGAAGACTATAGCTTTTCCATGGTCAAGATTTAAAACTGGTTTCCTCACTACAATGTAAGTATTTCAGTTTGAATGGCTGGTTATTTATTTATTCATTCATTCAACAAATATTTGTTAGGAATCTACTTGGTATATACTGGTGAACATGGAGTTTTTCAATACAGTGATAGAAGTTAATTAAATGATCCCAACATAAATGGATAATTACAAACTGAGATAATGGAAAGCATGGTCATCACCTCTCACAAACACTGAAATCTGTGAATGCTCAAGTCCCGTATGTAAAATGGTATAGTGTCTTCATATAACCTAGCCACATTCTCTTGCGTGCTTTAAATCATCTCTGGATTACTTACAACACCTACTACTATGTGAATGCTATGCAAATAATTGTCATATTGTATTATGTAGAGAATAATGTCAAGGGGAAAAAGTCCATACATGTTCAATATGGACAAAATTTTTAGAATGTTCTCTATCTGCTCTCAAATGAATCCATCTGTTCTGAAGCAGAACAGATTTGGAGAGCTCACTGTGTAGTATTTCAGATCTAAGAGGGTTTGTGACAAAGACATTGTTATAATCCAAGGTTAAGGAAAGCTTCCAAGAGCAGAAGCATTTGAAATATGATCTAAATGATAAACAGTAGTTACTTGAGCAAAGATGTAGAAAGATCATTTCAGACAGAATACTTACCTGGAAAGAATGTTTACATATTTATACATATTTATTATAAGAATGAAAGATGGCCAGCATCCAGAAAGTCAGGTAAAAAGCAAGTACAAGATGAGCGTGGAAAGGGAGATGACAAAATACACATGGCTTTATGAATCCTGTTCCCAAGGATTTGTATTTTCAACTCATGAACAAATGAATGTCACTGCAATGATCTGATTATTATTGTGTAAATATCATTCACACTACAAGGTAGAGCCAAGAAATTTGCATGTTTCTCACTCTCTTGATTTTTCAGAAGGTCCTATGACTACACCTTAGTTTTGGTTTCACAGGAGCCTAGTGTAGAATCTTAGTTCAAAATAATGACCTCTTGTAATTTTTATTTAACAGATCTAGGATAGCAAAATTCAGTATTTTCAGGTATTAATTCTTGCTGGATTGATCTATTAATTTAATTCCTAACAGAGCCTAATGTTCAAGACCTAAAATAGCTAATACAATATTGAAAATGAGGTTGAAGGATGGACAATACCCACTTTAACATTTACTATGTTATAGTAATCAAGCCAGTGTAAGATTGGCAAAGAAATAGATAAACAGATCATTGTAATAGAATGGGAAACCCAGAAATGTAACATAGGTATATTCTATATCTATACAGTATGTACAATATATAGTCACAAATAAAGTCAAGTGACCTTTAAAAGGAACAAAAGCAATTCAGTGGGTGATCTGCTCAACAAGTGATACTGGAACAAATGATATTCACATACAAAAAAGTGAATCTAGGCACAGATCTTACATCTCACACACACACACACACACACACACACACACACACACACACAACCTCTAAATGAATCATAGGGAAATGCAAAAATATCAACTTCCCAAAGGTAAACATAAGGAAAAAAAAGTGTGTGACCTTAGGATTGAGTTGTTGGATGCATCACCAAAAGTATAATGCATGAAAAAATGTATAAGCTGGATTTCATTAACATTAAAAACCTCTACTCTACAAAAGATAGTTAAATTGAAAGACAAGTAATAGACTAGGGGAAAATATTTACAAAACACGTATGATGAAAGACTTGTATCCAAAATATGGAAAGATCTATTAAAATCAACAATTTTTACAAAAACAATTTAAAAGTAGGCACAACAAAAAAATGGAAATGATATAGAAGCATATGAAAATGTGCTCAAAATCACGTTAGGAAATTGTGAGTTTAAAAAAAACTGACATACCACTGTCAGAATTCTATCTGTTAGAATGGTCAAAATCCAAAACCCTGACAATTTCAAATGCTGATAAGGATGTGAACAACAGAACATTCATAGATTGCTGGTAGGGATACAAAATGGCGCAACTACTTTGCAGTTTCTTACAAAGTGGTCATATAACCTAATAATTAGACTCCTTGGTTTTTATTCAAATAAGTGGAAACTTATGTTCACACAAAAACCTGCACATAAATTCTTAGAGCAAAAGACTTATTCATAGTTGCTCAAATTAGAAACAACCAGTATGTCTGCAAGGGTCTGAATGTGTCTAAAAGTCATTAAAATTCTGACTGTGAAGGTGATGGTATTAGGAATGGAAGATTTGGGAGGTGATTAGATAGGCCATGAGGTCATTATGTATGTCTTTTATCTTTCATGACTGGGAACAGTACTCATTAAAAAAAAAAAAAAAAAAAAAAAAAAAAAAACTCCAGAGAATTAGATCTGTTCTTCTCTCATGTGAGGACACAGCTGGAAGATGCCACCTATTACCTAGAAAGTAGAGTCACACCAGACACTGAATGTGCTAGCATATTGATCTTGGACTTTCCATTGCCTAGAACCATATGAAACAAATTTCTATTATTTATAAGCCATCAGTTTATAGCAGGCTGAAATGATGAGACAATGTCTTTCATTAACAGTAAAAAAAAAAATGTGGCACACCCACTGTGGAATGTTATTCAACAATAAAAATAAATGGGCCGTCAAGCCACAAGGTTCATGAAGGAACCTTAAATGCATACTGCTAAGTAAAACAGCCAATTTCAAAGGCTATATACTCCAATTATATGACATTCTGGCAAAGGCAAAACTACACAGACAGTAAAAAAGATCATATATATATATTTCTTTATAACTGCCATTATATTTGTCACACATTTAATAGGAATATTAAGCAGATGTATAATTATTTTGCTATTTAATAAAATTAACGATGAAAGCCCTTAGCACATGATTTGATACTTATTAGTTGCTTACTAAACATTTGTTGAATGAAGAAATGAATTAGGAAATAAAAGAATGAATGGTATTCCTTTCATTCCTTTTCTTTCTCTAATCCAAGCATAGTTTAATGTCAGTCATAACAAAGATGTATCATGCAGTTATAATTTTATTTATACAGAGAATAAAATAATACATTGATAACATATATATTATGTTACATTATTTATCCCATAAAGAAAACTTTGATTCTCACATCTTACATTTTTTTAATATAGGGACCACGAGGACTTCAAGGTGATGCTGGACCTCCTGGAGACATGGGCGCTGAGGTTAATATTTCTGAAATCCTTTTTTGTTTATCAACACATGGTACATTTTGTAAGACTGTAAGATAAATCTCTTATATATATTACGAGGACTAATTCTACAGTATTTTCTTCCATACTCAGAAAATGAAACCAACAGTTCCATTAACAGCAAAAATAATTACAGTAGGAACCTAATTTTATACACATAAAGTTTTCAATTAGTTCACTGAAATGACATTAAAAATTAAATTTTTTCATTGATTTATAGTTGATTTGACAGCCCTTTTTAAGATGTTATATTTCTTTTATAGAAAGAATTTTGAAGTGACCCTATTTAATATATACTTTAGAATAATAAATCACATGTGTTATAGTTACAAAATCTAACTTTCACATTAAATAGATTTTGTGCCTCTCCTCCCCTATCTTCTGTAAAATTACTCTCATGGTTCTCCACTTTATCTTCTTTTAGTGTTTCTCAGTCTTGGTATAAAGGTGCCCTTCCATGTCCTTGATTTGGCAAAAAAATATTATCATAGTGACTTTCAGTGTATTAGTTCTCTTTACCCCGTTGCTGATTCCTTGTTGTCTTTTTAGACATTCACCTATGTATCCCACAAACATCTCAAATTCAACATAACTAAATTCATCACTTTCCTACTTGTCCTCATTCTTTTTACTCTCCTCTCATTGAAGGGTACTCCTCCTATCCAGTAGCCCCCAAATGAGTTATCCTTGATACTCCCACCACATCCCCTCAAATTAGCCATTTCTTCTCTTTGAATAAACTCCCCACCACATTCTTTTAAATTTATCCCTTTTCATCTCTATTGCTATTACTCTTAATTCTCCACTATTATGCCATGGATTCTCCACTTGTCAACATTCCATCAACTACTTGTTGCCACATTAACTTCTAGTTTCATTTCCTTGAAATTTTTCAAGAATTTTCATAACCTTTGGAATAAATAATGCCAATTTCTTAACATACCTAAATAACATTCTACATGATCTAAATTTTGCAGACCTGCCAACTATATTCCCAGCAAAACTTTCCTTCTCCGTGATGTGTCCCAAGTTTGTTGAACTATTTCTCATATTTTGGTTATACTGAGCCTTCCTGAGCCTTCTGCCCTCTCATTGTGTATGAGTAGGAGAAACAAGGATGACTTAGATAAGATCACTGATTTCTTTAGGAGTTTATAATCTATTTCAGAGTACAGTCATATAAACAATCTTTATATTACAATGTGTTAGATCCAATGGTACAGTTATTGACAGGCCAATATAGGAACACTGAAATGGATACTTAATCCTACCTGGGAAAGGGGAAAAATAAGAGTTAGGTATATGTATGCAATTTTGGTGGGGTGAAGAAGTGATGAGATGAATTTAAAGAAAGAGAAGGAAATAAAAAGAAAGAGAAGGATCAGGGGCTGGGATGTAGCTCAGTAGCACTAGGCCTGCCTGGCAAACACAAGGTCCAAAGTTCAATCCCCCCTGCCCCCCAAAAAAAGAAAGAAAGAGAAGGACTTAGTTATATGAAAAAGAGGAATAAGGACAAAGGAATTCCAGAAAAAAAGGAATATTATAAACAAGAACCTTCAAATATATAGCACTACAGATTCTTTGATGCATAAAGTCAAAACAAAGAGTGGTAAAAGAGTTTTGGAGAAATCATGGAAAGTCTTGTGTATTCCATTAATAAACATGAATTTTTTATTTTACAGTCTATAATATGTCATTGTATACATGGGGCAGTGATAAAGTCAGATTTGTATTTCAAGAAGATAATTTACTAGCTATATGAAAGAAACATTTAAGGAGATGAGAGTGTAGACAGATATATTTATTAAAAAGTTATTATACTGAATCAAGCAAGAAATGATGGAGGGCTGAAGTAAAGCAGCAGGCATAAAATTATTTTTATATAAGCTCTCCAGAACTTTGACATTTGTAAAACTTAGAAGGTAAAGCAGAAAGAGAAGTGAAAAATTATTCCTAGATTTCTAGGTTTTAAAGACAGGATGGATGGCCATATCCTGTTTTCTTATGTTCACAAAAGACAGTTAGGGAGGTGAAGTTGTGATCAGTTGACAAGGTAAATGCCTACCAAGCCACAGAGTTGGTTCTGATCTTACTCAGAGTCATTGCTTATGACCTATCTATCTTTCATCACATCTTCTGAACCTAGAGAAAGCTGAGGGAAATCACTCTTCACAACTTGAAACTTTTAATGAAAGGATGATAACAATTCTGTTGTAATAAGGACTAGGGTTAGAGGAAGTGACTTGAAGAAAAGATGGTGGTTTAGAATTTTTCTAGGATAAAGAAGAGGAAAAGGATGAGATTTACTCACTAAAAATCAAACTAAGATAGGGAGCTGTGAATTTGCATTATGAGTTTTAATCTTAGTATGAGATATCAAGTTCCATATTTTCTGAGGCAGAGCAGAAACCCAGGCAATCTGGTTTCACAGTTCTTTCTCTTAAGTACTGTATTCCACAGCTTTTCATAATGGTGAAGAGATTACAAAGATAACGAAGAATTAAAATTATTTTATCTTTTTAAATTATTATTTTAAAGTTAAGAAATATGATAAAAGGAAAGTAGAATAAGGTGACTAAACTTTTAACAAGGCAACTAATCAATAAGTGTCAAGTTACAGAAATAACAACTGGGAAAACTAAAAACAAAAATTATTTTAAAAAGAAATTTAATCTGAGGGATGGGACTGGAAGCAAATCCATTCATCCTATTACGTATGTATAGCTTTTATTTCTAAAAAACAGGAATATGGATTGCAAAAGCTGAATCAAAATGAAAAATTGAACTTTTATTTAAAACATTCAGAAATGATAGAAAAGAGATTTCAATTTCTAATAGTTGTAAGGAGGAATGTCATTCATGGATCCGAAATATTAAGAAATTTCTGAAACAGAAAAGTAAACAGAAAAGAAAGAGAGGGAGGGAAAAGAGAAGGGTAAAGGGAATTGAATGAAGGAGATGGGAGAGTGTGAGTAAAGGAAGGACTGGGAAAGAATGAGCACGTGGAGCATGCTCCAAAATGAGATGAATACCCCACACAGCAGCGGGGGGAACTCCAAGCCTGGAGGTAACCAGTGGTTGCAGTAGACTGTATATTGAACAGTAAAAATAACCAAAAGATTCCCAGCAAAGCTAGCTCCACCATGAAAGAAGATTGGAAAAATAGCTCAAAATATATCTTTTATTATGTGAATAAATTCATCTCTCTTGTTTTTTAATAAAACCAATATAGAAAAAATAAATTTTTTCTGAAAAAGTGGGTTTCAGGGGGGCACAACAAAAAAAATGGCAAGAGCAAAAAATGAAGAAACACTTTTGTAGATGAGGACAGAAAATATGAAGAAGTAGAAAGTACCTTGTTTTTTATGCTTTGATTAAGAGGAAGGTTGGAAGAAACTAATCTTCAAAGTCCTAATTTCAGATGAAGTTGTTTTAACTGTTAAAATGCTAAAGGAGTCTAGAAAGTATCCAGTCTTTTGCCATCAAGTTTATGAGGGCAACAAAACTATCATCTGGACACAGATATCCTACCCTTGAACTAAAAGGTTCACCCATCTTATGAGGTTGTTTGCTGCCTTTGTAATGTATCAAATCATTCTCTTTTAGGGACCTCCAGGCACTGAGGGAGAATCTGGTCTGCAAGGTGAACCAGGTGTTAAGGTAACTTTCCTAAAAAGTAAGAGAAAGTCTGTAAACTGCCCCATTTGGTAGACATCGTGAAAGCAGGTGAAGGTCAGCAAAGAAAAATAAGAATTGTTTTTTAATTTTTACCCCTTATTGCCCCTCACAATTAGACATTCACTTTAGTGAAAAAGACTTTATTTTTCTCCTTTGGTTCTTCAGGGAGATGTTGGACCTATGGGTAGTGCTGGAGGAGCTGGGGAACCAGGATTACGAGTAAGTAGCTACCAGAAACCCTTTTAATGTACTTACCCACTCATTTGACTCAGAACTCATCAGCCTAAACACTTCAAAGAAATGGCATAAGCTTTTCCTCTCCTTTTCTTTTCTTTTGTATCAGGGATCAAACTCATGACCTTGTACTTGCGATGCCACTGAGCTAAATCCCCTGCCTGGCATAAGCCGTTCTGATCCACTAGAGAAAATGTCTGCCTTCTTTTTCTCATAGACTCAAAAACTGCACACTGAACCCTGCTTATATTCTATTCAGAACTCTAACACAGTACATCCTTTTCTAAAACTCAGGTGTATTCTGAAAAACCCTCGTCAAAAATATAGAGTTACTGAGATTGTAATTTGATAGTTTTGAGAAGTTATACTATTATAAACATACTACATTTTGAGTTCTAATATGCAGGATTTTTCCAAGATAGCAGTATCTAAGATAATTTTAAGAGGCATTTGTTCATTGAAAGGCAAATCAGGGAGATATATTTTTGTTTCTAGCTTCTTTTCATTTTCTCTATTTTGAGGAGTGGGCGAGTGGGAGGTGAGAGAGACAGAAGCATCAGAGATGGGAGAGACAGAGCAACCATTAGTAAGCACTAATTAACTTATTTTAAAATGATTTAGGTTTCAAGAGAACCAGTGATACTTTAACAGCTTCATAGACTATGGTTTATATTTCAGCAAGCTCCATATCTAGTGGGCAGCTTCTTGATGGACCATGGCCTAAATCTTTGATTTTTTGTAAAGGAGAAAGTGTAGAAACTCTAATCTGGTAGAATGATCATAAATGAATCAAGTTATATTATGTAAATTCATTATAGCAAAGTACTATATTTCCTGTGATTCAATACTTATATTTCATGAAATCAGAAACATATCTAGTTATATAAATTTCCATAGCTACCAAATGAATATATGTAACTTTTAGTTACATAAAATTTACTAATATTCTGGAACTATCTCTTTTTGAAATTATAACACTAAAACTGAAGAGCTATTCAAGACAAATTAACTCACGTATTATACTGTCAAAGCCTTTTTAGAAACAAAGTAAAATTAGAAATAAGTGAATACAAACCTGCTACTCTCTGTACATTCCAAGGATGAAAAATAAGATAAATGATATAAATAAAAAATTAATCTTAATCTTTATTTCTGCTACAAAATAGGGTGAACCAGGAGCTTCTGGAGAAGAAGGCATCCAAGGAAAAGATGGACTAAAGGTAAATTACACTTTAACATTATGCATAAAATAGATGTCTCTTGAAATCTTTAAAATGCTATACTTAATTGGGCCAGGGATTTATCTCAGTGGTTCTTCTGCCTGCCTCGCAAGTGCAAGGTCCTGAGTTCAATCCCTGGACAAAAAACTGTACTTAATCATTTTTGTGTGCCAAACAAAAACTTGCTTATTATGTGGCACTGATTATAGCATTCCTTTTCTAATTTTTTTTCCATTTGTTTCCAGGGAACCCCAGGAGAAAGAGGACAGCTTGGAGAGGATGGAGAAAAAGGAGAGATGGGCTTACCAGGAACTACAGGGCCCTTAGGTAGACCAGGTCAAATGGGCCTTCCAGTGAGTACTGTTGGGTTCGTTTTGAAATTTTCAGTGAACTTAGAGCCTGTATGCATGTGCACACACACAACACACACACTTTGAGCAATTATATATCCAATGGGTAATTAGAGGTGTTGAATTATGGCATTAGAGAGCAGGGAGTAATTATCATCCTGAAATGCATAAAGAAAGATACATTTCCATAAGCTGTGGAATTTCTGTCATAAAGCAATTATAAGGGAATGTTTTGTGTTATTTCATACTTCAACTATTTTGGATCTTTATTCAAAGAACTGACATTATTATTGTAGAGTAATATCCTAGCTCCAGGATAAAATTCTGTGCAAGCATAATATAATCTGATCCTAAATTGTATTAAAGTTTTGTTTTACTTAAAAGTTCTAAATGTCAAAGTAGACAAATTCTGTCACCTTGAGGCAAATGGAAGATGTGAATTAATGATGAGAACAGCTTATCTCTTGTTTAAAACATACATTACTTACATTGTTCCATGTACAGCTCTCTGACCATTTCATGGTTTTACTTTATTGTTTCCTCTTTCTAGTCTCCAATCTTTAGGGACGTCTGATCCTTGGAAGATAGGGGGCAATCTGACCTTCTCTATCAGAGTTGTACCCCCTTCACCTTTTCCAGCTGAAGACCCTTCCCTGTTTTCTTTTACTTTCCAACTCTGCCTATGCCTAGATTTTCAACCTCTGCTTTTCTAAGTTTTCTTGCCTTTGGAGATATACTTTTTCCTTTAGAGTCATCCCTTATGACCCTACTAGAAAACAATTTCTGTTTCCTCTGAACCCTGGCAATTCTCTTCAAACTTTTACAGACTCAGAGTTAACTTTTTAGCATGTAGCTCTCTTTTCTCAGAGAGATCACAACTCTTCAAAACAGATGCACTGTCTTCACATCTTTCCATAAACCACAGTGCTTCTGTGCTTCTCTGAAATACTGAGGAACAAATTATGAGTGAACTGATTATACAAATAGGCGGGGAGACAAAGTAGTGATTTACAAAGTTACTAATCTTTACGCATTGTTGTGTACTTCCTCTGGCTCCTAACCTCCACTTGATTAATATCTTATCTATGCTAGCTCATGTCCCAGTCAACTTAGTTTTATTTGCAGTACTACGATGAAAGTTATCTGAAGGAATACAGTAGCATAAATGAAGCACAAACCAGCCATCTCACCATCTCCTTTCTATGAAAGTAATTCCTTTAGTATTAAAATATGCTATAACATATCCTCCCCCAAATAACAGTTATTTGCACTGGCATATTTCAAAGTGACCTAAGAAGAATGAGGATAAACCAGTTGCATCCCATTTTTTTGAGTCACTTTCCCTTCAGTTTTACCGTAATGGTAATGTGCCTATTTCTCTTCTGTCCTGCCCTTTCAGTTGTGCTAGGTGTTCTGCCACAACACATAGAAAGCCCCAGGGAATCCTCCTCAAAATTCTCTTGAACGTTTCTGGTCCAATATATCCTCACTTACATACTCTCATACAACCCTCCTAATAACATGTAAGTGTTATTATATACCCCATTCTGTAGCAGAAAAAAGTAGACTCGGAGAAAGTTAAGGACTTTATAAGATGATATAGCAGATGGCAGACTTGGCACTAAATCATTTCATTTCTGCATCAGATTTAGTCTTATATTTTGCCTTTCTAGAGTCCTTGATGCTTCTCACGTTTTTTAAGAATTCTTTTCCATTAGCATCACGGCTTGACTGACAGAAAAATAACAAATACCAAGTAATTGTGATTATCTTCCTAATAACTCTCGTCAAATTTTTGTTTTTATAATTAAAAAGCCATTAATGATTATTCATATGTTACCCTGGATTTTTAAAGACCAACTAACTTAGTTCCCTAGCAGAATCCTAAGGGTTGGGGGATCTGGGGCTGGGAATTTAGCTGAGTGGCACCATGCCTGTCTCACAAGCCCAAGTTCGATTCCCAGTACCAAAAAAAAAAAAAAAAAAAGGAGTTGGTGGGGAGAAGGAACATAAAACTAAGAAAATATAACATGGCCTAACACAGCCAGGACTTGCAGAAAGGCATGATGAAGCTTGACAGCTGTGTTAGCGGGCTCAAAAGATAAAAAGGAGGCCTGGAGAAATGATAAACAGGGATTTCATCTGCTTCATAATTTTTCCCAGGAACAGTCCTTCCTAGTACACATCTTTACTGCCTTTTTTTAGTAACAACACATGTGTGCTTCTTTTTTATTCTTTTTGTTGTTCTCCTTGGAATTTTAAATGCCTTTCAGCTTATAAACTCAATAAAAATACTGTGGCATATTTTTTCAAAAGAATTTCATGATCCAAGGAACTATTGCTTAATCAGACAGCCTAATGTTGGATTTATTTTGTACTCTTAAAATTTTTCCTTAGGCAATGCTACAAAGATGCTACTTCAGATTCTTACAAAATAAGCAAGAGACTGAAGGAAATTTTTTTTCACTTTTTTCCCCAGAAGAAGCTCTTCTTACTTCCTAGATAATTGAGAATTAGATCTGCATTGAAAAGTACTGCAAGGGAAGCATCAGTTAACAAACTCCAAATCTAAGCTACTATAAACTTATTTAAAGAGGAGAAAACATTATACATTTTATGTTTGAATTCTATGCTACAATGTCTAATTGCCTAAATGCATAACTGTGTATGAGAAAAGAACTGGAAAGCACCTGAAAAGAAACATCTGCCCAAGTTATGGTCTGTCATCCATTTCTAAAAATTCTGCCACTGTGGAGTCTAATATCAAAACATGTGGAGCTATGAACTCCAAAGTAGAAAGTTTTACAATGCAATTATCTGGATTCATTCCTTTAGGAAAAAAGTTTGATAAGCTTTATCAAGATGAAGTTTTTCTCTTCTGTTTAAGATGGCACTATATGAACTACAGGTAAATATCTTAAGGGAAGAAGGAATGAAATAAAGTATCCTTTTCTAAGAAGCTTTTCTACTAAGACCATAAAATGAAGTCATAAAGATGAGAGGAATACAAGTAGTTAGACAATAAAAAATGGGGCCGGGGATTTAGCTCAGTGGTTCTGCTGCCTGCCTTGCAAGCTCAAGGATCCAAGTTCCACCCCTGGTAAAGAAAGATATAAGATATACCTGGACTTCTTTCTGAAATACTTCCCTCAAAGACTCTGAAAAACAATAGTTGGGAATTTGAGGTTGGGAACATTAAATGGCATTCAAGAGTAAAAGACTATCTAAATCTGGAGCAAATAAGTGCTTTCTATGATTCTGGTATTATATTTATGTATCCTGAACTGTTTTGTTTTAAAGCAACACACAAATAAAAAGCTCTCCACTGGCCATTGTGCAACCATTGTTCAGATTTCTGATCTCTCACTAAAGAAATGCACATCGTTGGGAAAGTCTTTCTTTGGTTTCTTAGCTCATACATTATACATAATAAAGGAGTTGGAGCTATACAAAACTTCCCAAGATGGTTGTGTCAAGAAGGTCATTGAATTAGCATGGTTCTGTTCTTTCTATTCCTACTTCAATCAGAAAAAAAATCATTTTATGTCTATTTAACCTCTTAGCTTCTGCATAGGTGTTCTTTGGAAGAAAAGGTTCTATGATAATAAAACAACATTATCTTATATTTCTAAATTTGTATTCATTCTTATAGACTATAATACTATAAAATGTATTTTCCTGTTGATTAATTTACCAAAGTTTTTTGAGTATTTTCTGTGAGGCAAGAACTCTGCTAAACACTGAGCACACAAGAAAACAAGGTCCTTGAACTCATACTTCATAATCTAATGGAGAACCCTAACAATAGACTAAAGAGCACTGTAGATTGTGATAATGAATGATGTAAATAAATGGGTTGATGAAAAATGAAATTTAAAAGATAAGTAAGTAAAAAGGATTATAAATGAAAATAACAGATGAAGGATAGGAAAGCCAGCTGCTTAAGGTTAGAGAATTTATTTATGCTATAGCAGTGAGGGGTTTCTGTGAATAAAGGATTATAAACTTGAAATCTGAAAAAATAAAAGGAATTCTTCATTCAGAAAACTATAGAAGAATCCTTCAAAGTTGATGAAGCATCAAGGACCAATACAGAATTAAGAATAAGCTAAGTACTCTATTTTTAGAAAATAAAAAGGAAGCTACTGCAGTTGTAGCATAATGAATAGTGAAATGTTGTTGAAGACAAGCTTGAAGAAATAGTTAAAAAGTAGACATGAAGTACTTTACAAGCCAGGATAAGAAATTTGGGTTTTATTTAAAAGATGTCTAAGAAGCCACTGAAAACATTTCAGGAAGAACATAATTTCTTATGGAAATCATTCTATAATTTCTAAACCTTATTTAATACTACCTAGGATTATTGGTTATCATTATATAAATTAACTTATAGAGAAAGAACAAAGTAAACTTGAATTAGAAAAACATGTGATGAGCCCAGCTTGTCTCAAAAGAAACAATGAGAGGGGAGAAATAGAGAGAGAGGGTAGAGAGAGAGAGAGAGAGAGAGAGAGAGAGAGAGAGAGAGAGAGAAAGAGAGAAAGAGGTTGAGGGTACACCTCAGTGCAAACACCTAGGATTCTCTTTACTTCTAGAACTAGATGATATTTTCATTCATCTACTATTTACTAATAGCCTCACAGTGATAGAAAATGTATCTTCTCTGGTAGAGAACACCCTTGTGTGCTGAGTACGACATGCTCCACTTGTGAAATGTTAAATGATGGAAACAAGGAAAGTAGAAAAATCTTCTCTTAAGCTCAGCCATCAGGCATATGAACTCTCTTGGCTAACAACAACAAAAAAAAATTAGCAAAATCCTGTTACGCAAAAAGGCAAAGAAAAAAGTTCAATAACATCCAAACATTTCCCATTGCAATAGAGGTGGGAAAGATGGGGAGATGTAGTTTAGGGATGCAGGAAGGAATTCAAAACACCTGAACAGATGTCATCAAGTAGAGTAATCATAAGTTAATTAGTGTAAAGTACAAGTTAAATAATTT